CGGCGGCCCTTCAAAGCTGATCTTGGTTCATCTCACGATGCTATGAGCAACGTTTCACAGCATCAAAATGAGTCATGATGAGTCTACGCCGTTTGCGCACTTGATCTTGTGTACAAAGTAAACCGCTACCAAACGCTGCTCAGGATAATCCCATCCATATTGCACACCTCAGCGAGTCCAGACCTCACGCAAAAGTCGAGGAGGAGCAACTGCGGTCAATTTTGCGTCAGGCCTTGACGCGTTTGCAGTTTCAGAAGGCGGGACGCGTTCGTACCTGTCAGTTCAGTCCAGTCAGTCAACCACTGCGGGGTCCAGCGAAAACAGCACCTCATCACCAGCGACCACCCATACGCGTAAGCCCAGAATGTCACTTACTCTACAGTTGCCCTTCCAAATCCCCCCCTTATCACGCCATCGTTGGGAACTAACTGACATAGCTGTCCAAAAGGATCACCGCAACGTATCCTAGTTGCCGAACATGACCCTGCTTCCGGATTTGGATATGGATATCGACCTGATGGGTGCCCAGCCCGCTCTGTTCAAGCTTTATACCCAACTTGCCTTGTTCTTTCCGCTGTCGGAGGAGGAGGGGCAGGTACCAGCGTCACGGGATAATACTGTAATCACTGCGATCATCACCGCCGGATTGGCAGAGCTAGCAAAGACTTTCCCGTGGGTTGCTGGTCAGGTCGTCGACGTCAATGCCAATGCAAATTCTCATTCTGATGACTCCGATTCCGACGTCACGGCCACGCCCCTTTATAGGATCCGGCCACTCGAACCGGTGCCGCAGTGTATCGTACGAGATTATACTTCCGATGCGGAGATAGCCAGTTTGGCGCAGATCGTAGATGCGGGTTTTCCGATGCGCATGTTGGGTGAAGAGACTTGGGCGCCGTGTCCTACGCTCGCTGCTTTGGGGTTTGATCCGAGGAAAGCGTCTGGGGAGGATGATCGGCCTGCTCCCGTGATGCTTGTGCAGATCAGTTATATTCGGGGTGGTATCGTGCTTTGTGTTAATCTGCAACATAATGTGTGCGATATGATGGGTCAGGCGGCTGTGATAGGCTGGTTGGCCAAGGCTTGTGCGGGTGAGGAGTTCACCAAAGAGGAGCGAAAGGTAGGTAATATGGTGAGGACGGGTGTTGTACCGCTTATTGAGGATGAGGGCTGGGTGCCTGGAAGGGAACTGCAGAACCAGCTTTTTCCTCCTGCTCCTACTGTTGGAAAAGAGGAGGATACCGCTGAGTCGACGGTTGCTGGAGCACCTGTCAAATGCAGGTGGGTGTACTTCGACTTCTCAGCATCGTCTTTGAAGACACTAAAGGATCTTGCGACCACCACACTTCCCCAAGACTTCACTAGTTTCATCTCAACCGACGATGCCCTCACCGCATTCATCTTCCGCTCCGTTCTACGCGCAAGACAAACACGTCTACCTCCATCCACCCCAACAACACTCGCCCGCGCCGTCGACGCCAGACGCTACCTAAACATCCCCCCCAACTACCCCGGCATACTGCAAAACATGGCATACACGCGCTACCCCCTCTCCACCCTCTTATCCATTCCCCTCGGCCACATCGCCGCTACAATGCGCCACTCCGTCGACCCCGCGACCTCAGACATCGCATTCCGCACACGCTCCCTCGTCACTTTCCTCGCGCAATCACCGGACAATGCGGCGAAAACGAGTCCGACTGCTACTCTTGATATGAGCGTTGATGTTGCGCTTAGCTCGTGGACGAAAGTACCGGCTTACGAGTGGGACTTTGGACGCGGGTTGGGGAAGGCGGTTGCAGTAAGGAGACCGGGCTTTGTGCCTGTGGAGGGGCTGGTGTATTTGATGCCGAAGAGTGGGGATGGGGGTGTGGCTGTTGCGATGTGTTTGCGAGAGGAGGATTTGGAGGTTCTGAAAAGGGATGGGGAGTGGGAGAGGGTTGCTAGGTATGTTGGTTAAGTGCGCGTGTGATTCCGCTCGATGAGGAAGATTCACATGGAGAATGAAACTGCTCTATGTACAGGTGTGGGTAGGACCATGTCCTCAGTTCATCATTTGTCATTTGGAAGCATTACAGGGAGTTATTGGTCTTGGATAGAGTCTAAACTGACTTCGGTACCGTGATCCCTACGAAGCTGTTCACTGGGCCGCGTTAAAAATTGTAATCGTAATTGTATTGCCAGGTGCCGGGACGGAGGAATTGGACCCATACGACCTATATCTCCGCTCACCTAGTCACGCTTTGACGGTAACCGCACAGGTTTTTTTGACAGCGACTTGATACTGTTGCCTCGTTGTTTTGGCTCCTGGAACGTTACGACCTCTCCAGGATCTTCGATGTGATCGTTTGCTTCAACGTTACCATACCGTGTGCTCTCTGGTCATCTCGTGGTATATTCTCTGCCATATCTCCACGCCATATGCTCATCAAGTCCTTCTATGGCCAATACCTTCAACGCACGCGAAGACTCAAAGAAACCCATGTATTTACAATCCACCTTCACAAACATCTAACTATCCTACACTACCCCCCAACCTCCCAACCGCCATCTAATTCTTCTTCTCTCCATCCTTACCCTCACCCTCCTCCTCCTTCTCCACAAACATAGTCTCCTGCGCACTCCAAAGCTCACTGTACAAACCATCCCGATCGATAAGATACTGATGCGTTCCACTCTCGGCTACATTACCCTCTCTCAACACGATGATAACATCAGAGTCGTAAATCGTGCGGAGACGATGGGCGACGAAGACGGACGTGCGGCGCTTCTCTTTGACGAGCGAGTTGATGTGGGAGAGGAGGGCTTGCTCGGTGTGCGTGTCGAGGGCGGAGGTCTGATGTAGGGTGTTAGTTACTGGTGAAAAGAGAATAAGGTAGAGATAGGAATAAGGACGTACAGCTTCATCGAAGAACAAGAACGGCGGGTCCTTGAGGACGAGTCTCGCGATGGCTAGTCTTTGCTTCTCACCACCTGAAATCATCATTCCGCGCTCACCAACCATGGTTTCGTATCCATCGGGGAAACGGCTGATACTCTCGTCGATACGCGCTTTCTTTGCCGCTTCGATGACTTGTTCTTGTGTCGCTTCTAGGTTGCCGTAGTGGATGTTGTGCTGGATAGTGTTGTTGAAGAGCGGGGTGTCTTGTGGTACAACACCAATAGCCCTCCTCAAGCTATCCAACGTAACATCGCGGATATCTTGGCCATCGATCAGAATACGCCCCTCCTGTGCGTCGTAGTAGCGGAAAAGAAGTCTTAGGATGGTAGATTTTCCGCAGCCGCTAGGACCAACAATGGCGACTTTCTTGCCCGCAGGAATGGTGAGGTTGAGGTTCTTGATGATGGGTCGGTCGGGTCGGTAGCCAAAGGATACGTTTTCGAATTTGATTTCTCCCGTCTTGAGGGCGAGGGGCTTGGCGTCGGGCTTGTCTTTGACGGCTACGTTGACTTTTTGGAGGTTGAACAGTGTTTCCATGTCTAGGAGACTTTGGCGGAGTTCGCGGTACATGGAGCCGAGGAAGTTGAGGGGCACGGAGAGCTGGAAGACGAGCTGGTTGACCATGACGAGGTCGCCGACGGTTAGTTGACCGGTGGCTACGCCGTTGGCTGCGAGGTACATCATGGCGGTAAGGGCGGAGGAGAAGATGATGTTTTGACCGGAGTTGAGGAAGGCGAGGGAGGTGGCGACCTTGATGGACGCCTTCTCGTAGTCTTTCAGAGCCTTGTCGTAGCGGCCGACTTCGTACTTTTCGTTGTTGAAGTACTTCACTGCCTCGTAGTTGATCATTGAGTCGACGGCGACCGTCGCGGCCTTGTTGTCTGCGGCGTTGGCCTGCTTCCTGAACTTGGTGCGCCACGAGGTGGTCATGATGGTGAAGACAGAGTAGGCGGTCATGGTTGTGCCTGTGATGAGAGCGAATTGCCAGCCGTATTGGTATGTTAGAATACCGCAAACCAACGAGATTTCTAATGCCGTAGGAAAGATATGGAACACCATGGCAGTCAATAAGAAGCTGATACCCTTGGTACCGCGATCAATGGCGCGCGTCAAGCCTCCTGTTTGTCTCGATAGATGGAAACTCAGGTCCAGCCTTAGCAGATGGTCATAAACACTGCAAGCGACTTTACGAATAGCCTTCTGGGCGACACTGGCAAAGACGGCATTGCGCAGTTCTTGGGAAACAGTGGCGCCAATACGAGTCATTCCGTCTGAAGGGAGTCTCAGCCAGGGTGGACATGGGATGCATTGTTGGGTCTAGCTTACATGCGATGATCATAGAGCCTGCCACTGTGGTCGCTGTGCCGCCAACAGCCGCAAAGTCTATGTTCATGGCGTCTACAATGCTCTTGAAGTAGAAGGGGACTTGGACGTTCAGCAGCTTTGCGCCTACCAGCAAGCCCAGACTGATGCCGACCCTGAAGCGCGTGCCCATGTTGTCCTTTGGCCACAGGTATGCCGACATCTCTTTCATAATGGCCCAGTCAGCCTTGCGCTGCTCCTTGTTGGTCAGGACCTGCTCCTGCAGCAATGGGTCCGTCTTTGCGACTTTGGCCGCGGCGGGGTCGGCGGCAGGTTTGGTGGCTTCGATGGCGGGCTTAGAGCCGGGCTTTGGCCGCTGGCCGTGTGCATCCTTTCTGTGTAGCGGAGAGCAGGTGAATACGCGAATGCCGTGGTGGAGAGGATGCGGGCGCAAACTGGACGATCGAAGACCCGGCCGACTGGCGGCGCGGGCGAGTGGTTGGATTAACATGGCGATGTCACATGTTAGGTCTCTGCACCGCTATCACAGGAGAGAGAAGCTGTGGAGAGCTTCAATGGCGGAGGAGGACAAGATGGCAAGAGAGTGTTTGCTGTGAGTACCTGGAGACATGCATCCCACGTTGTCTAGCGCGTTTTGGGCGGCAGGGCTGAAGCGAGGCCGTCTTGCATCATCGCTGCTCCGAGCTTGACCAGAACATCTTCGCCGCCCGTCACGCGCCAATTGCCCGGCACAGCCATGTTACGACCGGCTGCCTCGCCCTGGAGGATCTTCTCGCCCACATCCGCCGCTGCCATACGGCGGACGCCCGTGGCTGCGCGATGCATCAACATATCAGCCACCAGCTCGTCAAATGAGTCCGCGCTGCAGCAGGCAGTCAGTGTTGAGGGCACCGCGACGCCCATGCACACACCAGGTAAGAAGTCGATATAATCAAATAAACCACAAAAAGACTAAAGAAATTGTCAGACGCCCGATTCGAAGTCATTGGCACCCCATTCTCCCTCCTCTCCGTCTCCCTCTCCGCCTCACAGACGCTCTACACCCGCCGCGGCACACTCGTCGGCCTCAGCGGAAAGTCGGAAAACACGCTATCAACCCTCTCCTTCCTCGAGCCCCTCCAGAGGGCCCCCGTCGGCATCCCCTTCCTCTACCAGAAAGTGTCTTCGACGAGCCCCGTCACAGCTCTCGTCTCCACAAAGGCACCCATATCGAGTATCGTCTCGGTCAACATGGACGGAAGGGATGATTGGATTGTTAGCCAACGAAATGCGTTGCTTGCATGGACCGGCCACACTCTCAAGTTGAAGCCGCAGTACAATGTAAAGTTGGGGCTGGCACACTGGGGAAACACATATATCACAGGCAGGGGATTACTTGCGCTTGCAGGAAGCGGGCAAATATATCAGGTCCAGGTCAAGGCTGGCGAAAGCTATGTTGCGCATCCCAGGTATGTTGAGACGACAGAAATACTCAGGACTTTACACTGACAGCATTGTAGCAACGTCGTAGCGTACACAGCCTCCAACACCCCACCAATCCCTTTCAGGTTCAAGTCGTCGAACCTCCGCTTCCAAGTGCCAGACCTTGGCTTTGGCTCAATGGTCCAGAACACAAAGTTCTTCCGAACCATGAGCAAGACAGGCACATGGCGGGCTCTGGCAACCACATATTACACTCTCAAGACATGGTTGCGGAGAACAGTCTGGGGCGATAGGGTAAGACCAATCCCTGTACAACATTGTTTTTGCGAATGCTAATTCACATAGTTATTCCTCCGTTTCGAAGGCCCAACCACCATGCTCATCCAGTCCCGCGCTTCCCGAATCAGCGACGTTCTTACCCTGAGAAACGTCGATGAAATCGCGGACAGCCCACCAGGCGCCGTTGAAGACGCCGCCACGCGCAAGATCAAAGAGGAGATCAAGTCAATAGGAGAGGGCACAAAAGCACCGATACCCAACACAGATGCGTCGGGCACAATACGGTATGCCACCGTGAAAGATGGCAAAGCTGAGTTTGAGAAGCCCAAGGTAGAGGAGGTGAAGGTATAGAGCATCTGGAATGTATGTATATTTATGACATTGACCTGTGCAGTGTGGTCTCAAACACAAGGCGCTACTGTGTGATTTGAAGTGCACATACCTAACGTGGGTGAACTATGCATATATCCAATTTATTTGCTTGACAAGAAAGGCACGATGTTCATGAGTACGGGACGAAGTATCGTTTGTTGTGGGAAAGGGCTACTGCTAACTTTGAAATGGCGTGTCAAACGTCAGCAACGTGATGTCGGACGCTAGATCGTCTAGCGTGGACGCGACATCTCCCAGCCACTCCCCGCATCGCTTCCACCATCTCGCGTTCGCGACAGACGCTGGCCTGCGCGCGACATCACAGTCAAGACGCGTACTGACTACGCCGCAACAACCGCTATGGCGGGGTATACCTGCGCATGCGTCTTGTATGACTGGACAGCATGTGCCACAGTACGCGACATGACGCGCGAGGCCTGCTTGTCCACCAAGGGCTATCGCCATCAAATCAGGCAAAGAGACCAGTCTTGACACTTCACACTGACAAACCGAAGGCCGCCTTTTTGACGCTAGCTCACATCGACGTTTCACTCTTTCGACCTTACCCCACAGATTCAGAAGATGCAGACCCAGCCGAATCATTTGAGCAACGATCATGTCCTCGCCAAAGACGAAACTGCGCAAGACATGACGGAGATCGAAGCAAAGTTATCCATTCCAAGTACAGAAATAGCTGTTCCATACACAGTCTTCACCAAGGCCGAGCGGCGCATGATTACCTGGTTGATCGGATGCAGCATGTTTTTCTCACCATTCACAGCCAACATCTACTTTCCATGTCTTGAAGAACTCCAACACGCTGTGGGCGTCAGTGCCAGTCTAATCAACCTTACCATCACGACATACCTCATTGTTCAAGCAATCGCACCAGCATTCTGTGGAGACTTGGCCGACAATCTCGGACGACGACCTGTGTACCTCATCACTTTCGCTATATACGTCTGCGCAAACCTGGGTCTCGCTCTTCAGCAGAACTATGCTGCTCTGATGGTCCTGCGTGGCGTCCAGAGTTTCGGCTGCTCCGCAACGGTAGCTATCGGGTACGGAGTCATTGCCGATGTAGCGACGCCAGCTACTCGGGGAAGCATGTTAGGGCCTGCAATGATTGCGACAAACCTCGGTCCAAGTATAGGCCCTCTAGTCGGTGGTGTAATGGCATCAAGAACTGGATACAGATGGGTGTTCTGGTTGCTAGTCATTATTGGAGCTGCCTTTCTGGCCGTTTTAAGCCTCGTCTTCCCTGAGACTGGGCGCAACGTCGTGGGAAACGGCGGTATTGCAGCACCCAAATGGAACAGGCCTTTGTTGCAGTCAAGCCGGCAGCGACAGTTGACAGCACCCAACGAGCCGAGGGCTTGGAAGAAGAGGAGCCTCATACCCAACCCTTTCAAAGCTCTGCTGGTCTGCTTTCATCGGGACACTGCAGCGGTTCTTTCCATCAGTGCCGTCTACTACGCTGCTTACTACTGCATCCAAGCCTCTATCCCTGCCATCTTCACAGAAATTTACGATCTCGATGAGCTCCAAGTTGGTCTATGCTACTTTTCCATAGGGACTGGCGTCATCCTTGGTGGTTACATCAATGGGAAACTAATGGACCACAACTACCGCTTTACAGCCAAGGCGAACAACATCACGGTCGACAAGGTCGCTGGCGACGATCTGGTCAAATTTCCCATCGAGAAGGCACGCTCTCGATTGTCGTGGCTTCTGATTCCGACATCGACTGCAGTCATTGTGGGGTATGGATGGGTCTTGCGCGAAGAAATTGTATGCCACCTCCACTACCCACGGTTGAAAAACTGACGGTTATGCAGCATATAAGTGTACCACTGATCTTTCTGTTCGTGCATGGATTTCTCGCTACATGCATCTGTCAGGTAATTGCTTTTACAATGTACAACCGGCAGCAGTATTGACAACGTTCCAGACGCACAACACCCTCATTGTGGACATTTCTCCGCAGAACACAAGCACTGCCGCTGCAGCAGGTAACATCACACGATGCGCTCTTTCAGCAGCAGCTGTTGCCGCCATGCAGCCTCTTCTGGAAGTGATGGGCAAGGGCTGGTTCTTCACGGCTCTCGCCGCAATCTCTGGTATACTCAGTGCCATCGCAACCATTTTCATTCGACTCAGAGGTATAACATGGCGCAATGGACGGCAAGCACGTGAGCAAGACGGATGTACGCAAGAAATAGCGCACAGAAGTGAGGGAAAGTGAGGGAAAGTGAGGTGATAACCTCTCCTCTACAGCTTCGCGTTCAACTTCCGAGAATCGCGCTTACCATTTGCCTGATTTGCGGCGACATACCCCTCGTATCCATCTGGAAACTTGGTTACCAGACTTCTCATCCCCTCAATCGCCCTATACATGGTCAATCGACGCGCCAAATCTCAGCGAGGCTCGCGACTTACGACTGTCGAGTAGTCTTGTTCTGTTTCCAGCAACATGAGACTACAAGATTGTTCCGACTTGTTCGTTAGCGTGACCATGCGCTATAGAACGTCGTAGCACTCACACTGCGTAGAGTTCGTTCCTATCGTCGTAGTCCTCTTGCGGTTTCGATGCAGGGACGATCTCAAGATACGCGTTCAGATGCGTTTTGTTGAAAGCGTACCTCGCAGCGCGCCACGGTGCTGCTTCGTACTCATGATGCCCAAAAAGGCATCCTGCATCATATAACATCGGGCTTCTTGTCTTCTTGTCGACGCTGACATTACCGTGCCACATGTCGCCGTGTAACAAAACAGGTTTGATCTTGTTACCACCACTTTCCATCGGACGAAGGAGCCGAGGAACTACCTTTGTCATAATTCCCGCGGACAGAGCATCCATTTCCGGATCTCCACCATGGATGGAACGCTCTAGTTTTATAAGATAGCGTAAGTTGCGGCTGAAGTACTCTTCCCACGTATCGCACCATCGGTTGTGATTAACAACGTTTCCCTGGAAGGCTAGAATCTCGCGTCAGATCCAATGTACCATTCGCGCATAACAAAAATACATACTGTCGATATGAAACCCGAACTTCCCTGTTGGCGACTCATTGCTGTGCACTTCAGCCAGTACGCCAACAAACTCCTCGACAAATGGCTTCATGGATGCGGCTGTGGCCTTGTCCGCATACACAGGCGCATCTTCCATATCGCAGAAAGACTGGAGATAGAAGAAGCGCTGCGAGTCCGATGCGAAACAACCATATGCGTATGGTTGGGGCACGTGGTTCGGTACCGCGGCGTACAGAGCGGCTGTTGACTCATACTCTGCTTTGACCATGTGCTCCGCATTTGCATCACGGTATTCTTTCAAGAAGAACGACTGTCGTCTGCTGTCGATGGTAGTGTCGAGCTTGGTTAGTATCGACCAGTGCGTTGCGCCTATGGTGCGGACTAGGTCTATGCGCGCGCCCTTTGGTAATGCTGGAGGGAACTGTGAGCGTACGGTCTCATAGCGTTGGAGTAGAATCACTTACCAGCAACGATATTATCGTCGATATACTTGCCTTCGTACCTGTCTTGCTCTTTCAGAATAGCCTGGGTAAAGCTATCGTCGATTTTGACCATGTTGCGACAAGGTGAAGGGTGTCGCAGGACTACTCAAAGTATAGTAAGGGCTATCGAGTCTCTTTTAATAGTCTTTGCGCGCACTCGGGGTGATAACGTGCGCGTTTACTAGAAGCGGAAGAGAGACAGCTGCGTTACACGATGAGGGGTCCAACTGTGCCGCGTAGCTGACAATACGGTATGACGGCATCAGCCGGGGGGAAAGCACGTGGGAGCACTCGTGACTCGGTTAAGGAGCGACAGCAAATTGGTAAAGGCAGTAGAAATTTGTGTGCGGCACTCGGTCCACGATCCACGATCCACGATCTATGTCGAAAAGTCGCGTATTCTTCTCGACACCTTACGAGTTCTACTTGCAAGGTTCCTGTCGGTTATACGTTTCTCATTCGAGAATACCGTTTGTGTGTATGGCAGAGTTATCATCTGTGGACGTTGTGAGTGGCTCGTTGTTCTGCGTCATCGCCGTATCCGCTGATGAAGTGGGTTGAGGGTTACTCGCAAAATGTCTGGATTGCGGCATGTCACTTCTGTATGCGACAGTCTCAACTAAGGATGCGTTGTTTTGGTAGACAAGACTCATAACTTGCTGAGGTGTGAGGTAATGAACAGATGTGAATCGTATATAAGGTCTGACTAACTAATCTAGGATGAGGTAAGGGCTATATACAACCCGGCACGGACCATCCATGGTCATGTGACATGAGGTTATCACTGGCTTCTAAGTGAGTCAAAGGGTGTGGGAACGTGGTAGCAGCTCAACTCTATGGCCAACCACAACTATGGCATAGTAATGATCAAGCTATGGTCTAAGCGTAAGGCGTTAAGAGAGTATATAAGGAAGCTTTCGTCCCTTATCTCTGCACACCTCTTGCCATCCACACTCAACCCACACCTAACCCGCACAAAAAAGATCACAAGAAGCAAAAATGACCGTCCCAGCTACCTTCACCCGCTTCCCCGATCTCTCAGCAGAGCTTCAAGTCATGATTATAAACTACACTCTCGAGGAAGACATGGCGCAGCGTGAAGATGAACTAATACTGCACCTCCACGCACCTTCATCCTGCAAAACCAACAACACCAACGTCGACTGGCACAACAATACGGCTACCCAAGCTCCCTGCCATCTACCACACCAGCCGTCTATTCCGCAGCGAGGCCCTCCGCACACAGCCTCTGCATCAAGTCTTCACAGATGACGCCGTTGCGACACTGCATTCGCGCAGCTCGATGTTCGTGTACAATCCAGCGCACGACGCCGCCGTAAAATCTATCCACGAATGCCGTTTGAGAAGCCCTCACTCCGGTCTCACGACACTCCATCACCGCGGGTCGATGGCTATCTACAACCCAGTGCACGACACGGTACTACTCCAGGTACACGAATGCTGCTTAAGCAGCCTAACCGCCGACCTGTGGCAGCTATTTCACGTCATCAAAGCGGCGCTCTGGGCCCCCGAGCGTTGGTTCGTTGTCGCGATAGTAGAGCGAACGAGAGTTCTTGGGGAGGGTTCACCTGGGGTATGTCTGGATCAGATGTGGTGGCTTTCACAGGCCCTTTTCCGCGATATAGCGGAGCGTGCAGCAGCGCCTGTTACATGGGGGAACATTTGGGTTTTCCTCGGAGATGTTGTAATTGGACGGCGGGTAGAAGAGAGGAGGAAAAGGATGATTGAGAGCTTTAGGCGGCGTGGAAGATCTTGGTCTCTTTAAATAGGCCTCTTGTATACTCCAGCCTCTATTAATCTAGCTTGGATTCTGTACCTTGTCTTCTCGTACATCTCAACGTCAACCATGATGACCGCGTTTTCCCCTTGTGGCAACTTTGTGAAATGCACCGCGCATATTGTTAGTGGTGTTTATAGAACTATATGTCATTGTGATGTAAGCAAAAGCTTAGGACCAACACATACAACACCAAAACAATCCACATCTACAAGTGATCCATCTAATATATCCCAACCGAACCCAGTACCTCACTTCGCCTTCCCACCAGCCCTCTCCCTAATCCTCTCGTCCTTCTCAAACCTCTCCTCAAACATCCTATAGAACAAGCCAAGCCACTCCTTCTCGCGATCGCTCAACTGCCGCGCAGGGTTCTTCCAGCTATTCGCCAAAATCTCCTTGATACGGCGTCTCAGCACCTTCAGCGCGACAGCAGCCCGCCATTCACGAACTGCGAAGCGGATGACATTGCCGGGTAGACTGATCACGCCTGCATGGAGCTTGAAGTCCATATCGGCAGCAACCATGAGCACCATGGGAAGTGGATAGGCGATCGAGGTGGAGTGCGCGTTGTAGAACTTGTTGCTGGATTGCATGATGTTGTAGTAGGATAGGAAGTCGGCTGTTCGCGAGCCTTTGTTGACGGATGTTGGCCCGAGGCTGACGGTTTGGTTGTTGGAGATGTTTCGCCAGCCCTTGCCTTCGCGGGTAAGGATCTTGGGGTAGAATGCTGTGGCGATGACCGAGTTGACTAGAACGTCGTTGTCCGTGTGCAGGTCGTATTGTGCCGGCACCTCAACGAAGACACGGTGTCGTGTCGTATTGCGGTAGCGGCCTATCGCGCGACGCTCGTCGGGCGTAAGTTGTATAAACCCGGCATCGACCAATGACGAGAAGAGCTGCGCTTTGAGGTCCTCTATGTTACCCAGGTTTTGCGGACTGAGGAAGTTCTTGTGGCAAAACTGCATCTCGGACCGTCCCGGGGTAGTGCATACTGCTTTCCAAGCCCTGTAGGCGTTGTAAGTTGTAAGGAGGTCGGAGTCGCCCTTCTTGAACGCAAGACGAGCGATGTCAGCTCGTTGCTTTTGTTGAAATGGTGACAAGAACGGGGATTTTGAAGAGACAATGGCAGCAATGGTGATAGCAACATCAACACACGCAAACGTACTTGCAAGCAGAACAAGCTTGCCCAAGTGTGCGTCCAACGGAAGCTTCGCGATCTGACGACCAAGAGGTGTGAGTTCTTCACTTGGCGTCAACGCGTCGACTTCTACAAGTGCATCGATAGCGCGACGGATATTCCTGGAGGAGGGTGGGTCGAGTGCCTGAGCAAGGGTGGCTTCGATATCACCAAGCTTGCAAATCTTTACGCGCATGACCAAATCTTGGAGCGAAAGTCTGAGCATCTCAGGGGTTTGCTGCTCTGCCATAAGGCTGTCGTGACGATATTTTGTGAAGAGGTGGAAGCACAGGCCCTCTTGTACACGGCCGGCACGACCGCGGCGTTGCTTCGC